ATAGGGGACACCACTCTAGAGGACAGGGCACAGCACTTCAGGGATGGACAGAGTGCCCTGCGGGATAGGGGACTCTGCCTTGCACTGCGTGAGCATCTGCTCTAAGTCAAACTGTTACCTGCTTCCTCAACATGTTCCAGGAAACACCACTGAGGAACAGCCCCAGCCCTCCCAACAGCACTGGAGGCACAATTGACAGTGATAGCTGGGATCCCCGCTTCAATGACACCCCCTCCTCTGTCTCCCTGCCCTCCAAGAACAGAAAGAACTTTAGTCAGCTTAAGCGAGCAAAACCATATGGTTCCCTGTTCCAGCGGGGAAAGGCCAACAACTTCCTGCCAGAGCGAAAGCAAATTGATAAGATCAGGAAGAAGAAAAAGCTGAAAAGGAGGGAAACAGAGGTGTCTGCAGAGGAGGACTATGAGGAGAAGCTGCTGGATCTGGAGGCAGAGGACTCTTACGCAGAGACGCCAATGAGCCCCTCTTCGGAGGGTGACCCTCAGTCTGTGACTGAGCACTGCTCGGTGTGGGACTCTGACACCCCGTCCAGTGTCTCCTACCCTGCTGTGACGACCGAGCAGACGGTGGAGATCCAGAGCGTGGGCAAACGAACGGTCATTCGGCAGGGCAAGCAGGTGGTCTTTCGGGATGAGGACGGCACTGGTGATGACGAGGACATCATGGTGGATTCAGGTAGGCTTGGCTGTCCAAGAGGATTAGCCAAGTGGAAGTAGTTGTGCTTTACTTGTAGCCTGAGGATAATGCAGAGGAGCACTGCCTGGGTGGAATTCAGGAGCAGTTGGATTTTCAGGGGCAGAGAGGTGGATTGGTTCTTTCTGCCATAAACTGAGTGAAAAGCTGCAACTTTATAGAAGCAGCTGGTTCTCTTCTCCTCAATTACGGCCTCCTGTGTACTGCTGAGGGTCTCTTGCTGTGTAAGAGACCTGGAAAAAGCAGCAAAGTGCTTGCCTTTGAAACCCAGGTAGTTAATTTAGTGTGAAAGGAGAGAAAATTCCTGGAGTGAGAGGTGTCAGCTGCTAAAAATGTATCTTTGACATTTGTCTTTACAGATGACGACTCGTGGGACCTGGTCACTTGCTTCTGCATGAAGCCTTTCGCTGGGCGGCCGATGATCGAGTGCAACGAGTGCCATACCTGGATCCACCTCTCCTGCGCCAAAATCCGCAAGTCAAACGTCCCAGAGATCTACATCTGCCAGAAGTGCCGGGACTCCAAGTTTGACATTCGCCGTTCGAACCGCTCCCGGACGGGCTCGCGCAGGCGCTTTCTGGACTAGGGGGGAGGCACGTGCTGCGTGGGTGGGCGAGCTGTGGGTGCTGGCGGGGAGGCCGGGGTGGGCTCCCCTGAACTGCTGCTGCTCTGGTGAGAGGGCTGCCCAGCCGGCCTGTGGCCCAGGAATGAGGAATCGCCGAGCCGCAGGCAGCCGGAGCTGGGAGCGGCCGCCTGGGCAGAACTGTGGCGGAGACTGTCTCAAGGGACAGACAAAGCTCTCTGAGCTCAGTGGAGTTTTGTCTGGTTAAGATGACTGGGTGATGTACAATACCTTTGCCAAGTAGGTTTTCTCATTCCATTGGGAAACTGCAAATCTTCTCTGTGCTAGAAAACTCCTCCTCCCAAAGAGGGAGGGGAGGAGGAGGGAGTCTGTATGAAGAGTCTGAAAAGTAAATGGCCCTGTGTTTTAAATTCAATGTGATATTATACTTGCCCATTTGTCCGTATAGATCAATCTTAGATATCCTAAGGCTCCGTAGGAGTCAGCCTCAGTGCTACCGGCCTCTGTGTGATCTGCTGCTGCTTCCACCGGCCTGAGCATAGGGGAGTTCTGTCATTTGGCATCATCCAAGTGCAAATGAGACTCGGGGTCCCTCCTGTGCCAAGGGACAGCCCTGGCAGGAAGGAGCAACCCTTTTCCTGGACAGGCAGTGTTGGGGATCAGCGGCATCAGATTCCTTCCTAGAAGGTCTCTTCTTTCAGTGATTTTTTTGTGATTTATTTGCATGATCAGCTCACATGTGTGTATGGGGGGGAAACTGCTCAATTTCCTGTCCCTTCATTAACCTCTATGGTGCTGTTTTAAGATGACTCTCTCTTTTCTCAGCCCAGAATTCGAACATGGGCTGTAAAAGGGGCCACAGGAAATGCAGAACCTGGCAGGTCTGGTTTGGAATTTGATCATGTCCATCCAAGTATGACAGCCGAGTTGATTTTTGCTTTTGCTGTTTGTTTTTTGAAACCGGACTGTAACCAAAAAGCCAGAGTCTTTATTCTTTTGGTAGCAATGACACAGATCAAAGTGAATGCAGGCAATGCAGCTACAGGATGAAGTGCAATGAGGATCCAGAGTGGACAGGAGAGCACTGAGGCCCTGGCCAGCACTGCAGACAGGACCTCCTGGGCCTTAGCCCACAGAAAATCCCTTCAGGACCATGATGGGAAGCCACAGCTGATACACAAAGCAAGGGAGACGCTGGCATTGTTCCCCAGTGACCAGACAGATCCACATGGATCACACAAATTGGGTTGATGTTTTGAGGTGTTTCTCTGAAGTTATGCCTGAAGAACAGTGTGTGCTCTGTCCAGTAAGCGGCTCAGAGAAGCACTGGCTGGCACAGTGGCTGCAGCCAGACCAGCTGTGCCAGCAGGAACATGTCCCCATGAGTTCTGCAGTCACACAGCATTGGAGCACTGCCTTGTCTGAGGACTGGCTCACCAGATGTGTCGTGGTGATGACTGAGGGTCTTGCTAGCACACAGGGTCAAGTGCTCTCCTTCAGACATCGGCCCCAGGGCTGCCAAAGCCTCAGGCAGCCCAGTACCACGGGGCCCTAGGGCTCCACGATGTGGGGCAGGGCAACAGAGGTGCACAACATGCAACTTTTCTCTTCTGGTTCTTGATAAAAATTTTGTTCCACTAAGCTGTAACAGCTGACCGGTTCAGAAAACCAGCTTCTGTGAAATCTCTCAACCATGACTGTGCTGAGCTGCCTTCAGAAGCTATGTGGAACCACCAAGGAGTTTGCCAAAGACTCGCCCCCAATGGCTGCCTGACTGTCCTTTGCAGCCAGAAAAATAACCAAAGTTCTCCAGTGCTGCCATTTCCCCAGAAATGCTTTGGAAGATCCTGGCCACAACTGCGCAAGAGTTGGACCTGGTCTGACATTGGTATCTCTTGTGTTGACAGCGTGTCTGCAGTTCAACTGGACCTCTGTGGACTGTGTTCCTGAAGCTTTTATGGGAGAAATGGTGCACTGTCAAGTGAACTGGCTCTTTTTCACAGAGGTTCAACACTAATCAATGTTACTGACTCTTGTTTTGTCCCCTTCGATTTATCCCAGTGGATGGTGTCCAGCACGTTACAATATCAGCAGAGAGAAATAAAAAAGTAACATCTCCATTCTTTTAGTTCATCACTTTCAGCCATGTATAATTATAGTTTAATTCAGAACTTTATTTTTTCATTAAAACTTTTAATGAACCATGTTTTTTTCTTAAATGTGAGACAAATGAACAATGAGTTTGTTATATTCCAAACTCAGGAGTCTGCTGTTATGATTTATTGGTTTGTGAGCTGTTGTGCCAGGCAGCAGGAAGACTTGACACTTGAAGTGCTCTTTCTGAAAAAATACACTCAGGTGGAGATAGGAAGAGCTGGCAGGTATCCCCACCTTTCTGTAGAGCAGCTGCTCCTTGCTAGCCTCTCCTTAAGAGTGTGGGACATGGTGAGGAGCCCTGTGGCTGGGCAGGGTGGAGGGTTGGGAGGCAGGCACTGCCCAGAGTGGCTGAAGACAGCAGGGACACTGTGCTGGGCATGTGCCAGGGGCCTGCTGAAGGGTGCAATGACTGAGCTGGGAGACAGGGCCCAGGCCAGGATGCCAGTGGTGTTGGAGTGTGCAGTCCTGGCACCTGGTCCCTGCAGCCTCAGAAACAGCCCTGGGGTAGCACTGCACCCCTTTGCAAGGACTGAAGGCTTGGCCAGACCCAAACCAAGCCCCTGTGAACCCTCTGGGAGCTGTGTCAAAAGAGAGCTCCCTCCCCCCGAACCCTGGGCAGCACTGAGGACTCCAAACCAGCCAAGAGCTGCTGGAGCCTTGGTGGCCACCCTGCAGCTCACTTATGTGCCACAACCCTGCAGGCACTGCTGCTCAGCCAGCTGCCATCAAAGCAGCAGCCTGAATACCTTGGCAAACTGAAAAGGTGGCTCAACCTTTTGGAAATGGCACTAGGTCATGGTGGAAGCTACGCTGGAAGCTCAGCTCTGCTTGCTTAGAGATTCGATTTTAATTCTGTTGGTAATTTTGAATTACAGAGTCATAAAAAGAAGTCCCAGGGGAGTTGTGGCTATAAAATGGCAGCTGCTCATAGCAAGAATACGGTGGTGAAGGCTGTGGTTCTGCAGTGGGGCTGTCTTGGCAAAACTTAGCACTGACAGAAAACAAGGAAGAAAGGATGAGGGTGGCTGGGAGACAGACTGAGCACCTGGCTCTCAGGGATGCTCCTGTGCCATGTCCTATCTCTGCAGGCTGGCTCCTCACTTCTGATCATACACCTCACACAGTGACAGCAAAAAGGAACTGGAAGAGATTTAGATTTCTGCCCAGTCCCACCAAACAGAGGTCAATCAGCTGGATGGGATGGAGAGTGCTGCTACGTTTACAGAACCTTCAACCCTTACTTTCCAGGAGTTTCATCTCAGGAACTTCCTACAGATGCAAAGGGAATGGGAGCTGCTTTTCAGCTGAATATAATTTATTGCACATATTACATTTAATTTCAGATTGACAGAACGCTGGCCGTAAGTGAAATAAAGTCCTGCACCAGGAACTGGTCACAGCTGAGTTGTTTTGGTTTTAATAAAAACAAATGAACACCCCTTCATAATATGAACTTGTTTTTTACAAGGGAAAGCATTTATTTTGGAAATCTCATTCTCCTGGTGCAGTGACCTGAGCACAGAGAACCACAGCTACTCAGAACCAGGGGCCAGGTCCATGTCAGGAAAGGAGTTATTGCAGGAGTTGTCAAAAGCAACTCTGCATTGCCAAGACATTGGTGTTTTCCCCTCTGCTTTCACCCATGAGCAATGAAGGCTGATCTGGACTTAGCCAGAGCAAAACTGACCAAGGAGCAGCCACCATGATTTCTTGTCCCTGCAAAAGCCTCTGATGTGCTGATGTACCCAGTGTGTAGTAGATTCTGTAAGGTGCTGTTTCCAGCTGCTCTGTCACCAGCCTAGGACTGCCCTTCTGCTGGAAATCCCTGGCAGGGCTTCTAGGCAAGACAAAGCCAATGGATCTATGCCATAACTGCTGCTTTTCAGAAAGGGCAGATGAGTGTTACATTTTCAGCTCTTTATCCATTTGGCCTCTCTCACTTTGGTATGGTTTACTTTATGAACTACATTTATTTTTGCTAGAAATAAATTAGATATTAAGAGATAGTTGCAGCATCAGAATCAAATGAAATTAATTGCTGTCCTTCTCCCTCACTTGCTTTCCTCTTTTCTGGAAATCCTTAATAATACATGGTTGTGGGTGGCAGAAGAATCAACAAAACTATGATACACCGTGTCCTTGTCTGGAAGAGCAGTTCATTCATACTTAAGCACATACTTTTTCTAACAAGTGCATTTCAAACACAGATTTGAGATTGAAACAATCACTGACCTCTCTCCAAAAGTATTTGCACAGGGGATTTCTAGGACGTGGCCAGAGAACTGAAATTCCCCTCATGAGAAGGAGCAGGTGTGTTACCTACCCCAGGAAGTACGTGGAGAAGTGAGAAGAACAGGTCTTTGTCCCTGCTGTGCACCAGGAGAGAGGTGTGAGTGCAGAATGGGCCGTGGCCAGCTGGGAGCAGGGTGCCCGCTCAGCCCCTCGGCAGAAAGCACTGTGCACTCAGAGTCACGCTGCTTTATTGGGTACCGAGCCACAACTCAGATATTGCCTGGGAGCTGCCTGAAGCAGCAGGGTCTGTCCTTTTGTCCCTAACAGAACTGCCAGGACACCGCCTGCTATACAGACAGTAAAAATAAAAGTGTCTCTGTTGAAACTTGCAGCGTCCGGGGGAGGTTTTGCAGTTTCCATTGACCCAGGTACCGTGAGAGATGCGTGTTCCCCGCATTAGCCATCGGCATCGATCCTGTGAGCTGTCGGGGAGAACAAGGAATGGACACATGCTGGAGCCCACCATTGTTCCAAGGACAGGCAGGAACACTTCTGGCTGCTAATTAGACACAACTCCAATGCACTTCTGGAAGCTCTGTCAGTTGGATGTGCTGCTCACACTGGGCAGGGAGCTGGTCTAGGGCAAACAAAGGTCTGTGCCCTTGAGCCAACCCACCAGACCCACAGGGGTGCCAATAAAAGTTGTCACAAGCAGATACCGGTTTCACAGAGCTATTCCAGCAGGGAAAATATTTTGGCAGGTAGAATAAATGGGGACAAGGAAGGAATCTGACTCAGGCCTCCATATATTAAGTTCAGTCACCAAATGGCCACCCAGTGCTGTGAACTGCAAAGGACATTGGCACCTGTGGGAGGCCTCTGCTTCCAGCCCCAGTCAGAGATACAGACTAGCTGGTACAAACAGCTGCAGAGCTGCTGCTGAGTTCTTTTGGGCCTTTACTCCAGAGGCAAGTCACGGTCAGTCCATTCCAGTAACTCCAATTCTGAACCCCAGAACCTCAGTTCTGTGCTCTGCACCACAGAGCTGAAGTAGTCCATTACTGGTTCCCCAAGGAAGATGCTGGGCAGTCTGTGCTACTTACATTGCTTTGGTATCCTAAGGGCCTCATTGTCAGCTGACATCACTTGGTGCAGAACTCCTCGGAACTGATAAAGCACTTTCAAACTCTTCTCCTCACCCACGCAGGGATCGTAGAAGCCTGGAAGCCCAGCCTTGAACCAGAGAAGGAGAAACTGAGCATCAGGGAATGAACTTTCAACAGCTCTCCAGCTGGCCAAAAACATTTATAAGTGCCAGGACAAGGTGTCATAAAAAAAACAAAAGAAGTTTTGCTGCCAGCAAGGTGAGACACTGGGGAATCACCTCTACAAGTTTCCAGTGCATAAAAGTAAACCAGGGGGTTGGGAAGTTTCTGGTGTAGAGCCTGAAGGTCTCTAACACCCACTCTCCCACAATGCAGACAAATGGCCTAGAAAAGCCCCAAGAAACAGGAGTTCCTGGAAGTTTGTAATACTTGGTATGTAAATGGCATCTTTGAATCGATCCAGAGCCACTGGAGAGACCCCCTGGCAGGACACCACACGGTTCAAATTAAATTCTGGGCCGCACATTTGAGTCCCTGAATCTGTGCTTTGACAGGACAGCTACGTACCTTGGAGGCCTCTGTAAGGATGAGTTTAGAATCCTTCACCAAGCACTGCAGAGGCACAGTCACATCTATAACCTTCACCTTCTCATTCTTCCTGCTGTTGTCATTAACAAACTTCCCATACCAGGCGTTCACTACAATCAGACCTGCATTTCCCAGGAAATCACAACTGTGATGGAAGGCTTCCAGTGACAAAAAGACCATTGCAACATTTTCTCTTGCTTTCAGTGAGATTTAATTCTCCTTGCCTGGACCCACACCTCCCAACAAAGAACATTTTTACTTGGGCATTTGTTAGCAACCCTCATCACTAGAATGGAGTGACAGGATCTGGGTGCCACACTGATGTGACAGTCCAAGTGGATTACAGCTCACTTTGGAACAATCTGTGGAAAATTGCTAGTAACCATCAGAGATTAGATTCCTACTATGATCCAGGAGCAAACCATGTATGGGAGAAATCAGTGAAAGCTGAACTTCAGACTACAACTTTGGCACCTATTTATATACACACGCCTCTCTCTGGGGCAGAGGTGAATCCAGACTGTTGTTCAATTCAAGCACACAAGTCTGTCGATCCACTTCACACCATGTCCCAAGATAATATTATGTGATCCCTCCTATGCTCAGGCACCTGGAGCTGAGTCACAATGGGGCTCCCCTACTACATGTGCAGCAGCAACTACACTGCACTTCATTAGGAGTGGGAATGAAGAAACAACAGCTTTGCATTGTTCCTTCTTCTCTCCAAATTTATAGAACACGTAAATGATATGAGAATCTTTACCCATTCTGGCTTCCTCTGCTTCTATTATCCTTCGGACTGACTCCTGCATTAACCGGACCTGTCACAACACAAGTGGCAGAGCAGAAATCACACAGGGTCAGACACTGTGGCCAAAGGAGAATGGTCCAGAGTGAAAAGAGTTTCCTTTCACTAAGGGGATCAAGTTACAAGAAAGACTCACTGCAGCTTCAGCCTCCTGCTTCTTCTGTAGGATGTCACTGGCTGTGCTTTCCCGCTGCTTCTCCAGCTCTCTGGCAGAAGGAAGGTAACATCTCAGCAGGAATACATGGCTGGGATTCAGGCAGAAACTGGCAGGGTCTGCTTACCCACCCCAATTACAACTGACCCACAACCTCGCACAAATGAGCCCGAGTGAGACTTCCTCAGGAATGTGCAAGCTCACCTCTCCTTCTGTGCCCTGAGGTAGGGTTTGATGACCAGCCTGTGCATGGCGAAGTAGATAACGAGAGGTCCCACGGTGGCATAGAACACGGCGCTGGGAAGCAGCTGATCTGTTAGATGGACAGGGAAGAAGTAGGTCTGGCTGGCCCTATTCAGCCTGCAACAAAGAAGAGCAGAGGGATGGTAAGAGGAAAAACAGAGCTGGATGTGCTTGATGAAGCACACTTAGCAGCAGTGTGTGCTGATGAACCAAGGGGAGATGAATGAGGAGCTCAAAAAGGTGAAAGCCTCATAAACTGAAAAAGCCAACGGCAGGAAAGGCAGCTGACACCAGCCAGAGCCACACTTTGAAGTAGCAGCTCGTGATAGTACCTGACCATTCTAAAGTTCTTTTTTTAATCTTAGGAGAATTTGCTCAGTCATTAATTTCAACAGAAAAAGGGACAAATATCCTCATGAAATAAGAGAAAATGCTTCTAGAGAAGGCCTGTGGTCATAACACAGGCATGGGCCTTCAGGGCAAGTGTACATGAATATTTTTCTGATGTCTGTAACAATATTTATTTTAGAAAACATTACTTCCCTTGTAATGAATTCAGGCCCTTCAGTAGTTTCACACCCCACCTGTAGCTGGCCCAAATTCAAGCACACAAGACAAGGACACTTAATGAGCTCAGTCCCCCTGTGAACTGCACCTTGTTACTGGTACAATCACGTGCATTATGCAATGGTAATTCCCTAATTCAAGCATTCACTCATACACAACACAATACACATGGAATCCATCTCAACTAGTATTTTCAGAAATCTTCCATTCACTTACCAGAGTGCTCCAAATCTCACTCTAAGCTGTATTTCAGAATATTCTGATGCACACACACATACAGGTGGCTCAGGCTGTGAGTCACACCAGTGGAAGGCACCCACTACTTACAATGGGCTTACAGCTTGCATTAAGAGTTGAGGGCAGCTGTAGCCTCTCCCAGTGATGTATCAATACACCTGTATTGACCTGGGACTGGGACCTTCCCACCTGAATACTGGAAATAGAATCATGGAGGTTACGGTCAGCCTCTGGAATAAAGAGTTGAGATCTTGAACTGACTTGATTTTCAAGGACACTCCTTGAGGAACACCAACGCTGACAGTGGCTCCTAAAACACTGTGTCTGGAAATCTTCCTCTCTGCTCCATACTCCACTATGGTCCCAAAGAAACCCACCCTAGAATGACAGAACCAAGAACTGTTAAGACAGAGAAGACACTTGAATTTCTCATTACTGAATCCTGTAATTCCCAAACAAGTAAAGCAAGGAAATGCATCTGTTTGCAGCAGATGTTTGCCTCTGGAAGATTTGTGGTGTATCTTCAAGGTGAGATTAGACCTTCCACCTTGCTAAGGAGTAAACAGGAACTTCTGGCTTTCTTATAAGGGATGATGTAGACATATCATACGCAAGTATTATAACTTCTATTTAACTGCAGAGGCACACAGGGCCAAGCCTACAAGACATTCACTTCAGCCTTTACCAGATTTAAAGAGTGAAAAGCAGGCTCCCAAAAGCCACAGAAGCATATGGTTCGTGTGGAACCTGGAGGCCTACAGCAGTGGGAGAGGACACAGTCCCCAGGCTGTGAGCAATGTGAACTCCCTCTTGAGCACTTACTTGAGAGAACCTTTCACTCGTGTTTGATCCTCATCCTGAAACTTATGCTGGTAACTGACCATCATGAAAGAATGGGGGATTCCCAGCTGAAACACAAGAGGCACAAATGTATCATAACATACCCTTGGCCACTGCTGCCCCCAAATTTCCCTTCTCAACCTTGAAGCACAGAACGCAAAGCAGTGTTTGCCACTTACAACCTCTGCTGTCCATGTTGTACTGACTCTACTCTAAGCTGACCCATGTCACCCATGACAATGCCAAGAGCTGTGCTCTGCCAAACACCTGGTTACCTATATTAGGTCTAACATGAGATAAACCAACGTCTTCCTTAACCTCTAATCCCAAGGCAAAATACTGCTGGGACAGGAAGGTGAGGCCGCTCTCTCCCCCAGGGCAGGATTAGGTCCCAGCCATGGCTCTGACCTGCATTGCCACAGTGAAGTGGCTGGTTTTGGTGTCCCGGACAATACTGGTGTTCATGGCTGACTGGATGCCCCACCGCCACTGCAGGTAGCCCATTGTGTTCTTGTCCAGGTTTCGGGCCAGGACCGTGGTGAGGCCAGGGCGGACCCCGCGTGACGAGAACTGCAGGGCACAGTTTGTGGTGATGAAACTAGAGAAATGAGGAAAAACTCGTCAGTGGAAACACACAGGCTCCCAGGTGGCCCCAGAGTCCTTGTGGCCCAGGAACTTTACTGAATGCCCAGAGACCAACCTGCAAAAAGCATGATGCTGGAGGCTCTCAGGAAGTAAGAACTAACTCAGACTGCTCTGAGCACAGCAGTGCCCAGGAGAGCAGGCTGTGTGCCCTGGTTTATTGTCTGTTCATGATGCTGCCCAGGCACCCAGCCTCCCCCTTCCTGCCCTGTGCAGATAACATCCTGGTCTCTGCAGAACAGCACACTGGGCTGCTGGCACAGAGCAGCCCTGCGATTTAATAATCCTTAAGCATCAGCTAAAAAAACAGTGCTAAAGCACTCTCCAGGGAACAAGAATCCTGTACAAGCTCTGAGGAATGGCAGATTCACTAAATTTGAAAATATAAACCGAGGGAACCTACACAATCTCCTATGATGCTCTGATGTGTGGCTCCAATCACAGGCCTTACCTTGTATTCTCCTTTGCAACCTGAGACCTCTATTTGTGAACAGACATGAAACTAGTGGCAAATTTGGCATTATCTCCCTAAAATATGACATCATCTCCTGTTTTGCTGTCAGAAATTCCCTCTCACACATGGAAGCCTCAGAAGAGTTCCCCATTTTTTGTTGTGTTGATTGAGTACAAATCTAAGGATGTGGAACACAGACCTTCCTTAAATTTGCAATATGGAAAGGGAGGGCACCAACATCCAGAAAGAATGCAGGCATTTTGACAATACAAGTATGACCTTAAGTCTAATGCAAAAATAGCTTATTTTGTAGGACAAAAAACAAATCCAAAATAAATGTGGAAGCAAATTCAAGTAATTTAGTTCCTCATTGTGGAATATTAACCACTAGGCCATTTTTCTAATACTTACCATCTTGGTGTAAGATTACGAAATATCTTCAACCCAAAGAGAGGTCCGTGAAGGTCTCCAGCTCCAAACTCCAACTGTTGGAATGCACAGTGCCAGAGTGTTAGAAGAGGACATTCTTTACAACACTGACAAAATATGTCATGAGCATAATTTTTATCACAGCTGAGTAACATTTACCACCTCTTTCAGCACCCTCCCTTTTTTGCAGCTTTGCATTCAGAAGAAGAAAAGGTGTCTGGCTGAATTTGACCTCATGGGTAAAACAAAGCCAGTTTTGTACAGCTACAGGTGACCAAAGCTACTGGCACCTGCTTTGGTCACTCCAAGGAATATGGAGAAAACTCTGCCCTCACAAAATCCTGACACAAATCAAAAGCCTCCAGTGTGTGAATCTCAAATGAGAGGAAGACTCCCACTCTCCTGAGCTGAGGAAGCAGGCTAGCAGGAGCTCATGTGCAAGGAACAGGCAGCTGCCAGCTACACCAGCGATGCCATGAGCACCTCAACCACAGCCCAGCTTGCAGGTGCAACATGGGACTTTCCAGCTGCTCAGACCAGATCTGCTGGGGGAGGCCAAACTATTTCTCCCATAACTTCTTCCCATGCAAGCAAAGCAGTATTGGAAGCAAAGGTCAACTATCATACTGCCCTAAAAGGCCTGCTCACAGGACTGCGTCTTCAGACAGAGCTACCAGAAAGACTAGAGACATCAGGTAACAATTCTGGCTGCTTAAGTGAAGTCCAAATTCATGGCCAAATGGAGAGGGGAGAAACGTAAGAAAAAGCAAGATTTGGTCTTCCCTTTGTCTCAAATTCCTTTAAGAATTCCTTTTTCTACATTTTACAGAACACAGAAAATGAGAGATGGACCACAGCTAAAATTTTCCCCCCAAGAAATAGAACACCAGGCAATAGATTGAATATAAAACTGTGTAACAGGTATACTCTTACCTCTCCCCATCCCTTGGCAGATGTCACTCGTCTCAGTGCAAGATTAATTGATCCCCCTCCATTCCCATTCTGGGTGGAAAGGTTACCAGATAGTATTGCTGTGTCTGTGGAAGTCAGGGGTGCCTGAAAAAGGAATATATTGTTTCCAGTAACTCTGATCCTACTTCACATATTTAGTGCATGTTCTGCAAGGACATAATCACTACTGCAGAGTGCAAATGGTTTTGCAGTAAAACATCAAGCATGGCAAAAAGACAGATAATTCTTACAGTACCAGACACTTGTGACACCTGTAATGTACCACCTTGAAGTCCTGACCTTGAGCTGTAAACCATTCTCATCTTTCTAGCAGACTAAATTTTTACAACTCTCTGAAAGAGGAAATCCTTCCCATCCTTATGCACATCCTCAAGAATGGGTGCAATTTGCTCTCATCCACTGAACATGCTCCATTCAGTGAGAACTGGGCACTGAGCATCTCCACTGGCATGAGGGTAGGACCACTGCAGTGCACAGATCAGTTAGGCTACAGAGCCAATCCACCATTCTGCTGGCCCCAAGCTGCCTCTTCCCACCCTTGCTGGCCACTGTGTCCCCCCCAAATCCTGCTGAGAGCCCCTGAGCAGCATGTTCTGTGTTCTGAGGGGCTTCCTTCACTCACACCCTGCTCACATGGCAACGCTCACCCTCCTCACCTCGATGGACTGGGATATGTGCATTTTGTTTATCTCAATCTGGGGAAAGCTGCTCCCAGGCACATCTTCATATTCCTCGTCATAGCGATCAAACAGGTCAGTGGCATCTATTCCCACACTAATTGTTCCCTGAGGGATGACAAATGAATCAGGCATTTAGCATTAGCAAACATCTGGTGTACACAGAAGTGGCTGAACCATCCCTGTGTATGATTACATTTTCGTGCAGTTTTCCATTGTTCTGCAATTACTTTCACCACTCTAAAATGCACTTCCTAATGAACAAAGACAAAAGTGAATGATTACAATTTTTCAAAAGAGCAACATAAATCATCAAACAGACTGGAGAAAAGGCAGTTTTTCAGTACAAACTCAACTTGCAATCCCAGGAGGTAATTTTTCTATTGTGACACATTACAGAAGCAGGTAGAACACCTTTAGAAAGCAGGTTTCCTCTTTCCTCACAATTGACTGTGCTCTGTTAGTATTTAAAAGTCAAAATAATATATTCTAGAAATTGATTTTCTTCAATGGAATTTGGTCAGAAAACCTCCACAGGCTTCTTCTTATGAGATACCTAAACCGACTTAGTACTAAACTGTATCATTCACTTACAATTGACCTTGTTAGTAAAATATCTTGATTTCTTTTTCTAGTTTATATTTTGTGATCAGAAAGAAGGCTTGACAAAGACATACTTTTAGTAAGTGGTAAATATTTCCTTTTTCAGACTATAGAAAAACTTATTCCTACGAAATCTAGGCCACAGCACAATAGCCTGGCTACCTGCTGCTGTGCTCCCTCAGACTAACTGCAGGAGTGTGTTTCTTTGAAAAGAGCACAATTAGGTACTTGTCTGGGTCATATAACTTCAAGAAGCTTTGGAAACCTTCCCTATGGACCCATCTGACAGCATCCAAGCTCATATAAAATGTTTGGATTGCAATAAAACCCCCTCTCTGTGCACAAGCACAGGCTGAACTCTGGGCAGTTTGTATATGGAAACTCAATAGCAGGGTAGCTACAAACCCCACCCACACTGAGGCCAAGCACAACTGTGATAAATCCTCATTTCAGTCTGATGGAGTATTTTTCCTTGATCACTCCACTCTAATCAAATGCTAGACCATAAATAAAGGAAGAATTACAGAGTCTAAGAGGATTTGAACCTTTCCTCTGCCTGGGTTCCCAGCCTAACTATTTGCTGTGGAGATTCCTAACCTCTTTTCAGTGTTTATTTTCTGATTACTTATGAAGCAAAAACTGGATAAATATTTTAAAACTGAAAGGTGTGGTTATTTCCAGTAGAACCCTGGAACAGGGGCTGTGCCCCAGCTGTTTACTAATCACCCTTGGCAGCTGGTGAATTTCAGAGCAATTACACTCATTGTTCTGTGTGGTGGTGGCACCAACAACCAGTTCCTGCCCTTTCAGGAACCTTCTGCAAAGTCACCTTCAAGCAACTTCAGACCCTACAGCTTCTCCAGTTTCAGCCCTCTCCTATGCCATGCTGTTCCTTGAAACGAGGCCAAAAGAAGAGGGAAGCAATGGAAAACCTCTAACCACGCTAGAAGGGCACAGTCCTGTGCTAGCAAACACCCATTTGGAGACCATCTTGGCTTACTGGTGCCACAATGCTGCACCTTTGGAAAGATGCATCAAGAACCACACCTCAATTCACACTCAAAATTCATTGCACCTCCTTCCTCTAAAACACACTCAAAATATTAGGCTTTCCTTTTTCACATGTATTAATTGTACAGCAAATATCCCTCCCAAGGAAAAAAGGAAAACACCTGAACCTCTCCATGAATATCCACAAGATCTGTTCAGAGAAAAGGAGCGTTTCCCCAATCCCCAGCAGAGCTCCTACTCTTCTGCCTTTCCCTGAGGTGAGAGGTAGACCCTGGGCAGGCCCTCCGCCTCCTGCCAAGCAGGTGAAGTCACCCTTGGAGGTCTGTGGATCCTGGCAAGGAAACTGGTTCAGGCGCAGGCACAGGAAAAGCAGCAGATGGTAAAGTTAAAAATATTCCCAGAGAACGAGAGCACCCCTATGCTGCCGGATAAATGAGGGGACTGCTGCTGCTCCCAGCTCCCATCAGCCACCTGCTCTGACCATGGGAAATGAGGAGCTCTCCCCAAAGGAAGAGCAGCAGGAGAGAGCTGTAACGCCTGCTCAGAAGTCAGTGGTGCCCTCACTGCACTGCACAGAGCAGCAGCTGGGCAGGGCAGGAAGCAGAAGTGGCACTACGGAACCATCAGAGCTGGGATTGGCTTCTAAAATCATCTTTATTTGCCAGACTTCACTAATGCAATTCATAGATGTGCCAGAGGAAAATATACTTACTCCTTACTTTTTTTCTTAGGGATTTACTTACCTTCAGGGAGGTGATACCTGGAAGTTGTGCCAGGCTTTGCCTAGAGGGACTTGTGCTCCTTACATATTGACCTTCCACAGCAGGAAAATAACTGGATTTAATTTCTCCTAACAGGAAGCAGTTCTTCTTAAACCTAGTAATGAACTTTTCAACCCTTCTGCACATCTTTGAAAGCAAAAACAAAGCTCTAAAAGCAAATAGGAGACTCAATTTCAACCCTCCAAATTGCCTACATCTGGTTATTGCTCAACATTTCTGGTTAAAATGCTTTATTTTTGTGGAACTGTTTTATAGAACCGACAAATGTTGGAAATTCTAAAATAACTTGTGCTCGCGTATGAAATGATCACAGCTGCGCTCCCCAATTCCACGGGAACACTGCCTGGAGAGGCATTTCCATCGGCTGCCAGCCGGCAATTGCTGTAAACACCCAGATGGCTAATTTTATCCCAGGACACAGGCTGAGGCTCACAGTGCAGCTCACAGCCACGGCGAGGCGCCCAGGGAAAATGTCACATTCCTGAAGCAGGAAGCAGCAGAGTGGGAGATAACCATAGTCCTCTCCAAAAACATCTCTCTGACCCCACTCACCTGCACCTCCAGCAGGAGGGATAGTTTGTCCTGCCTGGCTTATGGCACCCAGAAATATCTTCCTGCTGGAATAAAGCTGTCAACAGATACTCACACAACACTCTGTGCTTGTTTTCCCTTCCAGTACAAACCAGTTCTTAGTGTCTATGCACTACCCACAGCCTGGGGATCTGCACAGTCCAACTGCTTTGCTGAGAGCAGATCCAAAGGTGGTGCCAAGGTGAATGTCTCAAAATATTACTGCTCTGCTTAGATGGATGTTTTCCTCAGGGTCCAGTCCTAAGTACCACTGCAATCCCACATCTGTCCACTCAGAAGACATTGTGGTTTTACACTAACATATGAATTAATTTAGTTAATAGTAGATGCAGCTCCTGGATAATGTTAGTCACTGCATAAGAACCAAGATTTTTGTGATTCAATAAGCTTTGAAACTTCAGTCAAGGACTATCCTGACAAACTCTGGGTCTGCCTCACACACTCACCAAGCCAAGAGCCAGCAGAGACACCGTGAGTCTAGGCTTGGATACTCTGGCCAATCACCATGTCCATCTCTCCCTGCCATCCCAGTGGTACTCCCGAGCACCTCTGACCAGCCAAGGTTAGCTGTGAGGTGAGTGGCTCAGGGTCAGTTTGCTGCTCAAACAGACTGAGATGAAAACAGCATCCGGGATGATTCTCATCCTGAGGGCACAATCACACTTTCCAAAAACAGGCACTTTCCAAAAACTGCAATACTGGCAGACCCCCAACCCCATTTAGGTTGACTCTGCTGCTGCCCAGCTGGCTTAGGGATGCCTCAGATTTGTTGCTGGTTTCAAGCTGCATTTGAATAGCTCCCTGAATTGTTGTGACACTGCAACAGTGTCAAAGGGAAAACCTGTCAGGTAACTGCAGTGAGTTACACTTTATTTAGAAAACCTGGAAAGAAATCATAAATATTCCAGTGTTAGGTCTATTTTCTGAAAATTGCTGAAAAAGGTATTTTGTCTCAACATGTTTCTCTAAGAAAAGGAGAACATTCAGTAGGGGATTGTTCAAAGAATGAGCTGTTCTCCCTATATTATGCAGAGAAACTGCATATGCAAAAGACAGAAAGTCATGCAGCAAGTGTAGACACCTGAGGGGCTCCTTCCTACAGGCCCTCACTGAGGCTCAGCATACCCTGCACAGTGGTGATAATTACAGACTCACTCTTGAGACCAGGATTAAGTCTTTGCTTACCTTTGGATTAGTTCTCTGCTGCAGTCTCCGCTCTTCCCTCTCTCTCTGCAAACGCTCAAATTCTTCCCTGATTTCAGCTGCAGTTCTCTTTCGTTCCACAACCTGCTCAAAAAGAAATGAAAACCAAACAATTACCAGACAGAGGCTGCTCAGGGCACTGCAGTGCTGGGGGGTCAGAGGCCCTTGGATGCAGGATGCTCTTACATGCTGCCACAGCTGCTGAAAGCCACCCTGCACCAATTTCAATAGTCAGAGTTTGGAACAAAGCACCCAGACCAGATCAAAGGGCAGGAATGAGAAAAAACTCCATGCCTTGAAAGAAGGGAAAATGGTTTTATTTCCATTCCCTTGACAAAACCAGGGCAGAGAGCTTTCCAACCACAACTACAAGACACTGCAGTGCAGTTGTTATCCTCAGCGATCCATTAACTGCTCTACCAGGTGTGGACACAAAAATGAAAATAACTGAAAGCCTCTGGCCTGAAGTAAATTGAATCCATGAGTGTTGTGTGATTTTAGGCTATGCTGGTTCACAGCTGCTTACCTTACATGGCTCAGGGAATGAGGGTTTTTCACAGGCCCACTTTTGGAATGGATAGAAAGAGTATTGGATTTGGCTTTTCAAAATAAGATCAAGTCTGCCAAAAGCAGTTTAAAAACATCTGTTACATGCTGGATCTGCTCTACATTTTTAGCAATTTGCTCCAGGTTTGACCTTGGTGCTGACCTGACCCAGTACCATAGGATTCTGCTTCAAGCAGCTTAGCACAATCAACCAGGGCTGGCAGAGGCCAGCAATGGACTCAAGAGCTGGACAGACATGAACAGACAAGTTCTGCTTCGAAGCCCATAAAACCAAACCAAAACTAAACCAAACCAAAATGAGGAAAAACCCCACCCCAACCCACTCCAAAAAGCCCAGGAAGAAAAAGTAATTTCAAACTCAGAAGCTAGTTGATGCTGAAAAAAACAAGTTTCGGATGAAAAAGAACGGACAAGATGGACAGTAATGACACATTTGTCTCAGATAAAGATGTTGCCTGTCATGGTAATCCTTCCAGGGAACTCTGAATGTCAGGTTTATTGTTCTCTTGTCAAGTGCAAAAAGGTTCTTTGAAAATCCATCCTGGTGTTCCAGCAGGGACAGAGAGAGACAGCAATAACTAACCAAAGATGCCTTCAAACCAACAGGCATTTATTACCAGCCAGGTGTCAGTGCAGCTGATAGAACAATGGCAGAAAAAGGTGGGCTTAGTCAAGGCCACTGGCCATAACGTGCTCAATTTCTCTCACCTCCCAGCCTTCCATCTCCAGTCCTCTCCTCCCATATATGTCATAGATGGCTCTGGTCTGTGGATCACTAAGCACTGTAAATTGAAACCAAAAGAGAGGAGAGAACTCAGTTTTTGGTCTTCTCCTCAGATTTCAGACCAAAACACTCAAGATATTTGGAATTCAAGCACAGATCCTGGAAACGTTCTACAGTTGCACATTAATCCCTTTGATGCTTCCACATGCTTTATTGAGAAGACATGCTGACTTTTCCCCCCAACAAATCCAACTTTTTTCTTCTTCTTTTTCTAAAACAAGAAAGTGGAAAGAACACAAGAGACATGCAGCTTAAGTGAATGTGCAGAGGGGGTTTCTAGCACTGCTTTCTTTGAAGGTGACAACAGCCCGCTAACAAACATGAAGGATATGAACAATTTGGCCAGAGCAGTCCCTGGGCCCTTCCTGGGATTGCCACCCAGCTCTGTCTGGCTTTCAAAGCTCTATGGGGCTTCCTTTGGTATTCCTGACCATCCATGTCCACTGATCGTTTCCCACCTGGTCCCACACATGGTACATGCCAAGCACCAACAAAGCAATTTCCACAAGGCAGTTCACACCTTGCCAAACATCAATAACGGGTAATGGCAAAGGTGTGTGTAGAATCTTAACCTCCCAGAATGACAGCCAACACAATGGACAACACAAAATACAACAGCAGACTGCAGAACAGCTACTTTAGAAAAAGACTGGGCACAGAATTAGGAAGTCTCTAAGGGGTAAGGCATATTTAAATGCATAAGCTCCTTTAACACACCTTTCTGCAAGAAAAAATAAATCAAAAAAAAACATCACTATTTCCTCCTCCAGGGTTCCAAGACCAGCTTTATCATTATCATGTATTTCTTGAGGCTGTGGGAAAACTGATATGTCCCCAGGGAGCTGGGGAATATAGCAAGGCTAAAAGAGGCTTATACTGGTAATTGAGTTTCGGTCTGAACTAGTGGAATATTATTGGACTTGCTAAATGTCACAGGCAGACATTTTTATGCTTTTTATGAATTCTGATAAAATGAATCTTTTGTTGTGTGATACTAAGAGATGGAAGAAGAGAAAGAGAAAATAGACAGGAGGTAGAGTGGCTCATTTCCAAGATGTCAACATTTTTTCTTGTAACATACTACACTTACATTTGGTACTAAATGAGCACAAATTTCCATGTTCATTGCAAGGCAGAGCCATGAGCAGCCAGAAAATTGAAAGGGAAGCTGCTGCCTCTAATGTAAGGCCGCTCACCACACTAAAATGAAATTACTGAAGCATTATGAGTTTTTGTTCTGCAAGTCATCAAGGTCAGACTTTCCCTGCTCTCCCAGCAAAAGCTTCCACATATCCTAACGCCTAACCTAGGGACAACAGGGAAGACCCCACAGATGCTCAAGTCCAACTGGAAGGAAAAAATGCTTACCAGTCAAAACTGTAAAAAATATTCACTCATATTTGAGGTTGAATGGGGGAATATTTATTCAGCATTTTGTTTTAGTTTCTCTTTAGACTCCAGGACTGGGTGCACCAGGTTTGTAACATGGATGATTCCTACCAGCTTCTAATCCACCTGCACTTCAGGTGCAACTTGTGCACCAGGATTTAAGTAAATTTCAGTTTCATTCAGAGTATTTGGAAAGGGCTTTGGCACAAGAATAAACTCTAACTGCTGTGGATCAGTTGTCCTCCTCTCAATATGAGCATACAGAAGAACTTGTTGGAAATGGAGATCACAACCAGGTGACATGGAACAGAACCTGTGGATGTAGCAGTTCACCAGTACAATATGAAACTGTCTCTCTGTTTGAAGCTTCTCAGTCTTTATTCTCCTATGGAAGAGGTCTTCAGAAGTAAGGGAAGTGATGAGAAGGTAATTTACAACATACAGGAGATAAGACAGACACTCTAGATCTCATTCCCTGCAGAATTTATATGGCATTTATCTTCTTACGGTACAGAATCGGTAAATAGCATTGGTAAGTATCAGCAAATTTAATTATTACTTTGTAATAATAAATAACTTAAAAAATCCTGAAAACACAGCCCTCCCAGAAACCCCCTGCAAAGCTCAGCCTCCCCCTGACCTTCATACGCTTGGTGGACAAGGTTGAAGAGCCGCTCAGCCTGGGTTTTGAGCTCGGGGTCGCGGTGCTTGTCGGGGTGGTACAGCATGCACAGCCGGCGGTACGCGGCCTTCAGCTCCTCCTGGGAGGCCTGTGGAAACCACCAAAAATGAACTCAAGGACAGCCAAGGCCATTTCCAAAAGGCCACTCACTCTCTAGATCAGCCCTGAAAGGGAAGTCCATCAGCTGTTGCATCACACTACTTTGGCCCAAAAATCAAGAATGGAATATTGCTTCATTACATAAGTTAATAAAATATTCAGTTATCACACCAGGATTGTCCACACTATCTGTAGTGCAACAAGGGATCTCAACAGCTCATCACTGCATACCCAGGTATAAAAAATTATGCAAAAACCCCACTACTCAAACAATCCATGCTCAGACTTTAGTTGTATTAGGCAACTACTATCCCCTCCAAATCAGAAGAACAAAAAAAAGCAAAGTTGCTTCAGATAAAAATACATAAATCCAGAGATGTACAACAAATTCTACTCATATTTCAACCTTAACCCTCAAGGGGACACTGTAACTGTCCAAAAGCACTGACTTTCCACAGTTCTACCTTATCCTAGCACCCTCCCTGTGCTCCCCAGCAGCCCATTCTGCTCCCCAGCAGGGTATGTGTTGTGCTGCAAAGGAGGAAGGTGCATCATCTGTCCACAAAGCCACAGACAGATAACCATGAGAACAGCATGCCACCACATTCATCAAGAATGAATCCACCTTGTCCTTTACTGCAACCACCCTGGGACCTCAGATGGCACCTGGCCTCGTTCCAAGGACATAGATGGCTCTTACAGGATCAATAGAGAAAAACCCTGCTTCTTCCATTATCATCTCCCAGCAATGTTATTTTTGTACACTAGAGAGTCCTGTTAATCTCCCCTCTCTCACCTCACCCTTCTACATCCCTTGCATTGCAGCTCCTGCTCATTCCTTGGAGATTGCTTAACACCTACTTTTTTTGAAGTGCAGTTGCTAAAATCAACCAGAACTTCCCCCAGGCAAAGCTTGAAAGAGCCCAACCATCCAGTTCCCAAACTGTCCTGGCAAGAACCAGTTCCTGGGCACAGGAGGCCATTCCTGGAGGAACACCCAGAGGAAAATAACCAAAACCTGATGGTCCAGGGTCCCCCAGGGGCTGACCTAGTGCAGTCAGTGAGGGGGGCACTCAGACACAAATTCCATTTACTTTTAACACCCTTCAAGAAGCAAAGCCATCACAGGTTCCTAGCTTTCAGTGGGGAAATAAAGTTCCTAAAAGGTAATTTCTTAAAGTAACATCTTTTTTACCACTTGTGGCAAGGAGGGTTTCCATCACAGAAATGCACTCACTTGTGTCACAATGCCAGGAATCCATTTGGATTTGAGGACAGCTCAGAATGTTTTTTCTGCACATTTGTATTGTTGCTTGTTAATGTTTTGAAGTGATACAGCAAAAGGGGAGCTTCCAAATTTGCTGGTCCCAAGACAGTGAGGAAAGCTACAATGAGCTTTTTTCTTTTTACTACCTTGTGCTTTCTCGGATATCAAATTTAAACTCAGCTGGGAAGGCAGGGGAACATATAGGCTCAAAATGGCATTTTTAAATCAAATTAATGATAAATGGTTTAATGTGCTATTGATTATATAATAGAAATGAGCAGGTTCATTTTTCATAAATGCCATGTTCAATAAAATGTTAGATTGGGCATTTCATCATCACTGAGTAGTTTGGGTCATTGGTTCAATATTCCACGAGCAACAGCCTCTTCAAAACCACTAAAGAAACCCTGACATTGTTTTTAGACTGCCAGGAAATGCAGTCACAAATAATTGCATGTAAGTTACATTTTTATTACCAAAACTCTGGTCAACATTAAAAGGCCTCCTCATTTAAGGTCTCAAACACAGCACCACGTTTTTAGCAGACTAACATGTCTAGAAGATGAACCATTCACACAGACACAGAGCAATTCCTGCTCACAGGATCCTGCCTCCATGGGGTCACTACAGTTCCAAGCTCTGCTGCCACTTCACCCTGTGCTCAGCACCCAGACATGCTGTTCACCACATCCACTACAGGACAGTATTGCTGAAGATAATTAGCAAGGGGCAATTAACAAAGCACCCACTCCTCTCTGCTGGAATTACTCCCTTGCAGACCCCTTTAACTCAGGTTCCAGCTCCCTCGTGTACAAAACCTGGATGTGCTGCTCCGGAAGCCTGGCTAAGTTAACCATTAAACTTTCCGCAGCAGTTCCCTTGCGCGGTTCCCACCTCTCTGTTTTAACCTCTGCACGCTGCTGACGTTTTGGAGGGGAATTACGAAAGCTCCCAAGGAATGTACAAGCATGGCCTTGCTGGCTTTGAACCAGATGAGAGCTCAAAATGTTTTTAAAAGGAGCTCAGCATCAGGGAGTTCTGCAAACAGTGTGACCATCACACACTGTTCCTTCAGGAGTGCAGCAGATTCCCACACACGAGGCACAGGAGACTGTCCCCGTAGCTCAGGGACTGAGAGGATTCCCAAATGGAATTCTTCCAAGCTATCAGACTGAATCGCTTCCAAATCTGGATCTCCTATTGCAGGCAGTAGCGGTGGTGGTTCAGTACGAGCCTGGAGCCTGGTCCGACTACAATGGCCACACCCAGGCTGATGGACTTGATGGGCTGTTCATACATATTTGTACACACATAAATATATATAACAGATCTATATTGCAGTTGCACTTGCTGAAACAAACTCCAGCACGGCTCCTACATCCAGACCTTCGGAGATCTGCCTAATTGTTATTATAAAAAAAGCAACTGCCTCCCAGTAAGTTCCAAACTGTTCCGGTGTAACAAACCTACGCCCATTAATATCCACCTATCCGTAAAAGTGGAATCAAGGACTCTCGATCCTCTTTTTTTTTTTTTTTTTTTTTT